GCTTTATGGAACAAAGTAGCGTATATTGTGTGAATGTACAGCTACATTTCTCATGTAAGTTTGCGTAGTTTTAACACAAACATTTATTTTTCATATTGCACCAGTACAGTTAATGAGCAACCTGTACTTGTGTGCTTGTTTGTTCTGTTTAAAATGTTTATTTTGGAATAAAGAGGTTAATATAAAAAAATATTTTTTGTCCGATTCATCGAAAAAATAATCAGCAGATTCATCGATTTTTAAAATAATCGTTAGTTGCAGCCCTAATCTGAATTAAAAACACTGATCATTTATTGAACAGGATGGAATAATTTCAGATTTAAAGAACTTTCAGAAGTTTGAATTCCGAATATGAGCGGACTTTTCCTTTAATGGGCATATTTAAAGGTATAGTGGAGGATGTTCTTTTTTCTGGTGGATCATCAACATGAGTGGTCATCCTAATCGTGAATCATTCTGGTGATTATGTTTACATAAGGCCTAACTAGAAAAATTTAAAATCCTCTTTAGGTAATTAAGCTTTTATGAGCGATGCAACTTTTAAACAGAGCGTGCACGAGGAGAAACGGGCTCCTCCACGCCCTCGCACGGGTTTAACAGGCGTTCCCTATCAGCAGCGCGCACAGGGTTGTGCAAGTGCATTTTTTTTTTAAGTGGAGAGGGCAGGTCTTGTCAAAAATATGCGAAAGTCCTCCACTATAGCTTTTAAGAAAGAAGGATTTTCACCAGTATTAAAGATGCAGAAACCGCTACAGTGATCCGTTATGTAAAGGATAAGTTTGAGGATCGGGAGGCAAAGGCAGTGAGAAAATCTGGATATTTGTAAGCAAAGTGTTTAGCTTTCCTCCTCATCAGTCTGTAAAAGACCTCCTCTGCCTGGTATATGCTTGGTGCACTTCCAAGGTCTGCACGGCCAAATTACGTCATTTTGGGCTTCCAAGCCCTGACTGAATTTTTGCACGTAGCACCTAGGAAAATTTATAACTACGTGAAAGATTCTGCGTGGAAAACGTGTAGGGCTGCGGCTCCCGTTGGCGAGGGTCGGCAAATGTAAATGTGTAGAGACGTCACAGTTTGTGGAAAACGCCATAAAAGAACTGAACCGAATGAAGCGTTGATGTGTTTTCTACTTCCTCGTGTAGCGTGGTGGTGTCAGCTTACAGCTTGTCCTGAAACTTGTGTCCTTGTAGGAAGAGAAGCTGGATGGAGAGAACCGCTACTTCTGTGAAAACTGCCAGAGCAAACAGAACGCCACCCGGAGGATCAGACTTCACAGCCTCCCTCCGACCCTCAACCTGCAGCTCATGCGCTTTGTCTTTGACAGGTCAGTAACGGGTCACACGGTCGGCTGTGGTCTGACGGCCTTAGTTCCATCTAACCATCAATCTGTCTGATTTAAAGATGGAGGGAAGACCTGAACAACCATTATGAATAAAAAGCTGAAACTGATCATTCTTTCTGTCATTCACAGACAAACGGGTCTAAAGAAGAAGCTCAACACTTTTATCAATTTTCCTGAGCAGCTGGACATGGAACCTTTCTTGGAACGAAAACTAGGTACTGATTTACTTTTCTTGAGCCGGCCTTCTGCCAGATCAGCGTACCCCAGCATACCTATACTCAATACGCATGAGCAAGATGTTAGATTTGCATACATGTATGCTAGTCCCATTTCTCCCTTTAGTTTATCCCCGTTTAGCCCTTTAGTTTTGTACGAAAAACACATTTAACACTATAAATACACTTTAAAGGAATAGTACACCCAAAACATGATTAGCCTT